CTCTGCGGATAACCCTTCTTCCACGACACCCAGCCTGGCGAGCACGATTGCTTGGCGACTGGTTGGCGACTTCGCTTCGGGAGAGTTCGTGGCGATCTCTTCAGACGGGTTACAGGGACATCGATATGCGGTGCATCAACAAGTAAGTGTCTTTGTTAGTGGATAAACTGGTAAACGCGTGTGTAGTCCGACTTAGGAGACGTTACTGTGTCTCAGTTAGACGTTGGTAAGAGTTTGCTTCTTGGCGATTTAAGCCAGACATCCACGCACCTTAGAGGTCGCCTTTAACTCTCAACAACACCCGCGACTGTTACTCTGCTCTGAAGAATCAGTCACATGGAGCGGAAAAACTCTCCACAGCGGCACGCACACACGGACGAGAAGCGGTTCAATTGCTCTCTTTGTGGGAAGGCATTTGCAGATTCATCAAATCGTAACCGTCACCAGAAAACACACACGGGCGAAAAGCCATTCAATTGCTCTGTTTGTGAGAAGTCATTTTCACAGAAATCAAATCTTCACACTCACCAAAAAACACACTCGGGTGAGAAGCCATTCGATTGCTCTGTGTGTGGGAAGGCATTTTCACTGAAACAAAATCTTCACACTCACCAGAAAACACACTCAGGTGAGAAGCCATTCAGTTGCTCTGTGTGTGGGAAGGCATTTTCACAGAAATCAACTCTTCACAGTCACCAAAAAACACACACGGGTGAGAAGCCATTCCATTGCGCTGTGTGTGGGAAGTCATTTTCACAGAAATCAAATCTTCACACTCACCAGAAAACACACACGGGTGAGAATCCATTCAATTGTTCTGTGTGTGGGAAGGCATTTTCACAGAAATCAACTCTTAACAATCACCAGAAAACACACACGGACGAGAAGCTATTCAATTGTTCTCCGTTGGAGAGGACACGGTCATCACCCCGAAACAAGCATGAGAAGATCAGCAAAAATAGGGAAGTGAAATCAAAAAGTGAAAAACAAAGTGCTGCAATGAGTCCTGAAAAAAATGCATCTATCGAACCTATGCAGGAGGATCCTGAGAGATGCGTGGATGTAGTGGATGTAATGAGTCCTGACGACAATTCCCTTTTCGACCCCATGCAGGTTGATAATGAGAAATGGCTGCTGGAGTGGCTGGATAATCAAAGTATTGAGTACTTCTGTTAAAGTCCTGGAATGTGCACGTTTGTGTCTCTGTTAGATCAACGTATTAGGTGCAATTGATTATATCAGTGAGTTCCAGCACTACTCCAAGCTAGTGTAATTATTTTAACAAAACTGTTTGATTGCTCTGAGTGTTGGAAGCATTTTCACGGTCAGCAACACTTCACAGGCATCATCAAACAAAGAGTAAAAATGTTGTCATGAGTCCTAAACGAAATTCCTCTTTCGACCCCATGCAGTTGCATCCTGAGAGATGGCTTGATGTAGTGGAGTATTCGTGTCTCATATATATGTTTTCGGTGATTTCTAGGACTTCAAGCTAGAGTGATGTTGTGAATGCTCTATAATGTGTTCAGATGAATGTCTTCGTTTAAAGTTCCAGAAGTGTTCACTGATTTCAGAATGACAACAATTTTATACTTTGGACGAATGGCTTCAGTCGAAAAGGACGTCAAAGGGGAAATCGACGTTTACGTGTTTGATTTTAAGAATATATTTTAACTGTTGAATTCCTATTGGGAAATAATTTGCCTAGTTCCTTTCCTGTTTGAGCCTGCGTATTAATAAAGATTTCGATACGAGTATTAACGTGAGCTTTCTTGCAGAATAATAAAGACCTGTTTTTAAAGATGACTGATCGTACGTTATTGCTACCATAGTTTTCCTTTAAAAAAACACGGACGAGTAGACATACACACACGAGTGTGCATCCAAACACGACTGTATATACAGCGGTGTGCATTCACACACGAGTGTGCATGTGTTTCTACGCTGTTTTCATTCATTTCGCACCACGAGCGGGGAGTCTCATCCCTGTAGTTCCCTGTTGTGGTGGCGCATTCCTACCACGTTGCCCCTCAATTATTTGTACGACACAATATAAAAATAATTTGTTTGTTGCAATACATAATCATACACGAGTACACATACACTCTCATGTACACACACCCACACACGAGTGGACATACACAGCAGTGTAAGTACAAAGGGATTGCGTTCGACTACGCGAACAAATGGCAGAATTTTTAATATAAAACACTCATTTTCTAGAAGCACCCCGCTCAACACGATTGTCCTTAAATATATTTATAAAACAAAGTCAGTACAGTATAAACTTGCACATCTATATTCTAAATCAATCTCGAGATCACCAATTTTTGATACTTCAGACTGTATGTCACTTTATCATCCTCTAAACTTGCAGAAGTTGCAGAAGTTTAGAGGACATTGGGGGGTGAATATTAGCAAATTAACACGAATCATGGAATTATGCATAGAGATGCACATCCGTATTCAAACGGAAGTGTACAATTATTCAGTGATATGTACATACGTATTATGTTGCTAGATATGCGGATTGTTAATGTAAAAATTAACAATTGAATGCAAATTCCATAATAGGCCAAGTCGAGAACAAAGAATTTGGATGCTAGAGCGGAATTATAAAGGGCTTAAAATCAGACCTCAAGGGCATTTCGAGAGGGATTTTGATGAGCATAGACGCTCGACTCCCCGCTCTGCAGATAACCCTTCTTCCACGAGACCCAGCCTGGCGAGCACGATTGCTTGGCGACTGGTTGGGGACTTTGCTTCGGGAGAGTTCGTGGGACATCGATACGCCGTGCATCAACAAGTAAGTGTCTTTGTTAGTGGATAAACTGGTAATCGCGTGTGTAGTCCGACTTACTGTGTATCGGTTAGACGTTGGTAAGAGTTTGCTTCTTGGCGATTTAAGCCACACATCCACGCACCTTAGAGGGTGCCTTTAACTCTCAACAACACCCGCGACAGTTTCTCTGCTCTGAAGAATCAGTCACATGGAGCAGAAAAACTTTCCACAGCGCCACACTAACACTGACAAGAAGCGGTTCAATTGCTCTCTTTGTGGGAAGGCATTTTCACTGAAACAAAATCTTCACACTCACCAGAACACACACACGGGTGAAAAGCCGTTCAATTGTTCTTTGTGTGGGAAGGCATTTGCAGATTCATCAAATCGTAACCGTCACCAGAAAACACACATGGGCGAGAAGCCGTTCAAGTGCTCTGTGTGTGAGAAGAAATTTTCACTGAAACAATCTCTTCAATTTCACCAGAAAACACACACGGGCGAGAAGCCATTCAATTGCTCTGTTTGTGGGAAGGCATTTTCACTGAAAAAAAATCTTCAAAGTCACCAGAATACACACACGGGCGAGAAGCCATTCAAATGCGCTGTGTGTGGGAAGGCATTTGCAAGGAAGTCAGATCTTCACACGGTCATCACCCCGAAACAAGCATGAGAAGATCCGCAATGATAGGGAAGTGAAATCAAAAGGTGAAAAACAAAATGCTGCAATGAGTCCTGAAACAAATCCATCTTTCGAACCTATGCATGGTGGATCCTGAGAGATGCGTGGATGTAATGAGTCTTGACGACAATTCCTCTTTAGACCCCATGCGGGTTGATGATGAGAAATGGCTGCTGGAGTGGCTGGATAATCAAAGTATTGAGTACTTCTGTTAAAGTCCTGGATTGTGCACGTTTGTGTCTCTGTTAGATCAATTTATTAAGTGCAATTAATTATAGCAGTGATTTCCAGCACTACTCCAAGCTAGTGTTATTATTTTAAAACAACCGTTTGATTGCTCCGTGTGTTGGAAGCATTTTCACGGTCAGCAACACTTCACATGCATCATCAAGAAAAGAGTAAAAATGTTGTCATGAGTCCTAAACGAAATTCCTCTTTCGACCCCATGCAGTTGCATCCTGAGAGATGGCTTTATGTAGTGGAGTGGCTGGAGAGTCATATTCGTGTCTCTTATATATTTTTTTCGGCTATTTCTAGGACTTAAAGCGAGAGTGATGTTGTGAATGCTCTACAATGTGTTCAGATAAAAGTGTTCCTGATAAGTTCCAGAAGAGTATCATCCCTGTAGTTCCCTGTTGTGGTGGCGCATTCCTACCACGTTTCCCTTAAATGATTTGTACGACACAATATAAAAACATTTTGTTTGTTCCAATACATAATCATACACGAGTACACATATACACTCCCATGTACACACACCCACACACGAGTGGACATACACAAAAGTACAGATCCATGTACATACAAACAGTAGTATACTTGTGTAATGCGGGCATAAACGGCCTCGCGGATATGACGTCACGGGGGGAGGAGTTAGGTCACGTGAGAGAGAGGGATGAGGTCTTAAGGGAGAGATACCGGAAGAAACGGGAGAGTGTTGGGAATAGAGACAGAGTGAGGCCACACAGTGCGGAGGTTGGAGAGTGGCGAGATCGCCACACACAGTAAGACTCGGCACCGTCGGCCAGCGGTGACGAGCACGGGGGAACAGGGAGCAGCGGTGGAGCTGCAGTGAGAGCATCCGGAGGACTGCACAGCGGAGCTGCAGGAGCGCGAAAGGCTACGTGAGCGAAGGCAGCTGTCGAGCTGCTAAGCGGGGAGGCTCTGAGCGAGGGCCGTGTGGGACAAGTGTAAAGAACCCAAATCAAGGACAACGGAGACAGACCCAGTGAACGAGTCCTTTATTACACTTGCAAGCAATTCAACGTTATGTTGTGTCATCATGGGTTTATTTCACAAAATTTAAAGTGCCAGCAACAACAATGGTATTGAACCTTATTCTTTACAGGAGTGGCTCTGGGTGGACATGCCACCACAAAGCAGCACGCGGCGGAGGAGGGAGGTGATCGCTCTCGCCACGCGAGCAAGGCCCCCTCGCTTCCTCTTCTTTCCCTGCATCACCACCTCCACCACCTGCACCTCCTCCACCTCCTGCTTTGTCTCGTCCTCCATCTCCTCCTCTTCATCCTCCACCACCATCTTCTCTCCATTCTCTGTCTTCTCCATTCCCTCCTCCTGTTCCTCCTCAACCTCTTCCTCCACCTTCTCCTCTTCCTGTTCCACCTCTGTCTTCTTATCCATCTTCTCTGCTTGGAAGCCCTCTTCTCCAAAGCTTGGAGCAATCGGGCCCTGTACAGGAGTGTCAGAGGTGGATGCGGTGGCGGTGGTGGTTGCAGCGGTGGTGGTGGTGGCGGCGGTGGTAGTGGTGGCGGCGGCGGTGTCGGTGGCGGCGGTGGTGGCGGTGGTGGTGGCGACGGTGGTGGCGGCGGTGGTGGTTACTGCGGTGGTGGTGGTGGCGGCGGTGGTGGTGATGGCAGTGGTGGAGGTGGCAGTGGTGGCGGAGGGTTTTGTGGCAGTGGCGGCAACAGCGTCAGTGGCAGTGGTGGCGGTGGATGCGGTGGCGGCAGTTGTGGCGTTGGCGGTGGTGGCTGTGGTGGCGGTGGTGACGGCGGTCGTGGCGGTGGTGGCGGTGGTGGTGGCGGCGGGTTTTGTGGCAGTGGCGGCAACAGCATCAGTGGCAGTGGGGGTGGTGGTGGCGGTGGTGGTGGCGGTGGCAGTGGTGGCGGTGGTGGTGGCAGGGGTGGGGGTAGAGTTGCCGGCGGTAGCGGTGGTGGTGATGGTTGCAATGCTGGCAAGGCGCTGCTCCTGCTCAAGGCGCTTCTCCTCCTCGACGCGTTTCACGTTGGCGAGACACTTCTCCTCCTCCTCCAGATTCTTCTCCTCAGGACACATCATCTCGAGATGATGCTTCTCATCAATGAAGTACTTCACTTGAATGAGGCGCTTCTTGAGGAGATAGTCTCGGAAGTACTTCTCATCTGTGCGGCACTTCGCCCTGGCAATGCGCTGCACCTCAAAGAGGCGCTCCTCTTCCATGGTGCATCTTTCTTTGCTAAGGTTCTTTTCCTGGAGATGCTTCATCCCGCTGACGTCCTTCAACTCCCCAATTATCCTCTGATCAAGCAAAGATAAGCAAAAGAACATTCAGACATGCACATGCAAGAAAACATTCATACCCACAGGCACGCAAACGTGGACGTGCACATAAACCCAAACAAAAAAACATACTCACACATGTATGTACAGATGCAGCCATCCACATTCAGTCATTCAAACTTGCTTAGTACACACTTGAATATACACTATCACCTGCTGTTAACACAATGCCTTATCCATCAATACTTGTATCACATTGTACGTGTAGTACTAACCCCTAAATATCCCAACTCCTATAGAATGAAAATACATGTCACATCCTCATATATCCCCATAAACCCCATGCATGCACTCAAGACTTTGCTCGATTGTGGCGGTTTCATAGCAATTGTTGGCAATAATCATCACTGACAATAGTTTTCACAGAATGTCCCATTATAAATATCTGGAAGCCCAAACTCTGGACAAACTTCACTGCAGCGCCCATAGTTTGGAACTGGAATGGTAACTTCCAATCAAATCACAGACATAATTATTGTGACTGCCTGATATCATTCTGTCTTCATTGGTAATAAATGGCCACTTCAAGTGCCTGCATGAGCGGGACGGTGAAGAGATGCGGTGATGGTGTCGGGACATGGTGTTGCGATATGGAGAGGAGAAGTAGTGGAATGTTCTAGAGAGATGGTGTATTGTGATGGTATAGAGGCATGATGAGGCTCTAATATGGTGTATTGAATTGGTGGTCGTGTAGTGTGATGAGAAGGTGATGGGGAGAGTTGGTGTCGTGATATTTTGGTGTGCTGGTGAGGTGACATGGTGTGCTCGTTGTCGAGAGAATGTCGTGTGTTTTAACCCCACAGACCCCATACACATCGTGCTCTCTTTTAGCCCCGCCCCCCCTCCCAATACGTTCCATTCATTGGCTACCACATTCTGATAAGCTCCTCCCCCCTCCTCCCTCCTTAACTTGTATTTAAGAACTTGCATCTTGGAATCCCTGCCTCACTTGATACAGCAAATTCAGCTGTGACGGTCCCACCTGGGACGGAGACTTGTGTTGCCTCCGAAACGTCGTGATTTTTATTATTTTATTTTTATTAATTTTTATTTCATTTTATACCTACGTGACTTTACCGAAATAACTAAGAGTATGAATCCTTGCAGTCACGAAAGCTTCAAATCTAGAACCCATACACACCTTTGGGGAGCGATTCTTGTAACTATGGCCTGGGAAAGGGTCCACCTTATCCATAACGTCCCCCCACGTGGTCGACTGGCACGCCGACTCCCGGGCTATGAAGAACAGAAAATGCATTCAAAGTACGAGTTATTAATTAGAGAACGAAGGACATGGAGTCTCACAGAACAAATTTTGAGATCCCAGTAATTACCGCTTACCACACAACAGGACCTGCTATTGAAAAATAGTCATCACATGGCAGTAAAACTTTACAAGTCATGTTTTTGTCGGCAATCTCAATTTTGGAGCTTTCGTGACTGGAGGAATTATTCTTTGGTTCTTTAGGTTAAGTCACGTATAAAGATAAAATAATAAATTAAATAATAGCATACTACGAAGTTTCGATTGCAACACAAGCAATCATCATCAGGTATAAAATAAATAGCAACAAAAATCTAACCAGAAAACTATAGACAGACACACAAGCAGACAGACATCACAAAGACACGCAGAGAGAGAACACGTATTGGCAGAAAGAGAGAGGTCGTCTCTGTGACGAGGCCTTAAATATACAGAGGGGGCGGGGGCGGAGAGATCGTAAATTACATAAGCTTGAGACCCCAGTTTGAACAAAGATGGCAACAACTCAAATATAAACCCATCCTCTTTGCCACACTCGATCATTACGTCTTCCCATTACCACCAAGCCATGTCTACGAAAAGTAATTCATCAAGGAGTCTCCTCCTCCGCATATAATCCATGTGATGCAGGTATCTGGGACTTACCCTCATATTCATCCAAGATCTCAGCCCACGTGATTTGTCTGTCCATGTTGTTGGGAACGAGTAGATTTTGTTTGAAGTTGGATGGCCTGGGGAGGTTGGAACAACGCTCAGATTTAGCAAACTTTTGAATCACTCATACTCCTAATTAATACATATTTGACCACTCATTGTATCAATCCAATCACTATCGTGACTATACTCTTAGGTTTTTTTCGGTAAAGTCACGTAGGTAAAAATAGATAAATAATAAAAATAATTAATGATAAAAATATGAATAATAATAGAAATAAAATAATATATCACGACGTTTCGGAGGCAACACAAGCTTCCTTCATCAGGTGTAAAAAGGCACAGCAAAATAACTGTAGTTAGGTGTAAAAAGGCAAAATAACTACAGTTATGTTACAGTTATTCTACAGTTATTTTGCTGTGCCTTTTTACACCTGATGAAGGAAGCTTGTGTTGCCTCCGAAACGTCGTGAGTTATTCTTTTTTATTCATATTATTATAAATATTGTAAAAGCTAATTTTTTTTTCCCTACGTGACTTTACCGAAAAAAAACCTAAGAGTATGAATCCTTGCAGTCACGAAAGCTTCAAAACTAAAACACTATCGTGACTTTTGTTGTTGCTGCTAATCCTACATAATGCAATGGCATAATATGACTTTGAGACCCCCCCTCCCCACCTCCTACGCATTTCACAAGTAGTGACTAATCCCATATATACATTTTCCATAAATATGCTAAATTCATCTGTTGATATGCAAATACCTTTGTCAAGGCGCCCTTCCCACTCTAACCCAGCTTAAATATACGCTGCCAAGCTTGGTGGTGTTCATTCAGACGCTGTCTTTTCGACAGCCCTATTCTTCACCTGAGGACGGCTGCTTGCGTTGTGGCCGAAACGTCGTGAGCATTGTATTTTATTATGTTTTATTTTTATCATTTTATTATTTTCTTTCTACGTGACTTTACCGATAGAATCAAGAAGACTATCGTGACTGTTGCTTTAAAAGCCCACTCACTCGCTTGTTTTCCCACTCATGTGTGCGCCCGATCACTCACTCATCCACCCACACGAACATGTTTATTACAACTGCCTATTCCATTAAACATAATCACCAGACTTAACAATGATATTTCACCTCTAATCCCGACATGCATGTTCATGTACAACCCATTTGTATTAATCGACTGCTTGATAGAGGACCCATATGCCTTGTGGGTCATTAGGGTCATATGACCATACTTTAATTATTTGTTATAATACGAGCATGACGTCGTAGGTCACTTGATGTCAGAGGTACCACCCATGTGGCTGTGACATCACAGATTGGAGGCAACTATGGCAGTGGCTAGGGTCTGAACTTAAAGGCAGACTCCTCCTCATATGTTGAATAACATTCAATACATGTAATGTAGGGCACAATTGTACCAGCAATCAGAACACAATAATTGTATACATGTTATTAATATTCTATGAGATTTAAACGGATTAGTTAAGCTTGTTTTAAATGCTGACTCGCTTGGGGTCTAAACAACGACAGTAACAGCAACATTTCAGAGAATGCCAAGTATCCTATCTAACAGTTCTAATTAGAATTTTTAATTAAAGCTTTCGTGACTGCAGGGATTCATATTCTTGGTTCTTTCAGTGAAGTCACATAGAAGGGAAACAATAAAAGAATAAAAATATAAAACAATAAAATTATCACGACGTTTCGACTGCAACACAAGCAATCGGCATCAGGTGTGAAATCCACAGCAAGAAAATTTGAAAAAAGTGGCGTTTTTTTCTAATTTGATTGCTGAAAATTGAATTATGAACATATAAAAGTAATGAAGCTTTAGTTTGTGGTCGAAATGTAAAATCAACAGGGTCGCTCACCTCGTTGAGGATTCGCTCTCAAAAGGCTTCTTCTGCTGCTCCCTCGTGTGCATTCCTCTCGACTGTGGGTGGAGGCGTGGCTGTGACGTAACAGAGGTGACGTCACTAGGGCGAGGCTCCGCCCCCCACGATCCCGGCTGGCGCATCACGTGGTGCAGTGCTGGTTGTGCGCGGGACCGGAAACAGCAGGGCTTGGGTTCGACTTCAGACTCCGTGGTCTACACAGCGAGGGTGAGTGAATGGGTGAGTGGGTGAGAGATTGAGTGAGTGGGTGAGAGGGTGGGTGAGTGAGTGAATGGGGGAGTGGGTGAGAGATTAGGTGAGTGGGTGAGAGATTGAGTGAGTGGGTGCGTGGGTGGGTGAGAGATTGAGTGAATGGGTGAGTGGGTGGGTGAGTGGGTGAGTGAGTGAGTGGGTGAGTGAGTGGGTGGGTGGGTGAGTGGGTGAGTGAATGGGTGAGTGGGTGAGAGATTGAGTGAGTGGGTGGGTGAGTGAATGGGTGAGTGGGTGAGTGAATGGGTGAGTGGGTGAGTGAGTGGGTGAGTGAATGGGTGAGTGAATGGGTGAGTGGGTGAGTGAGTGGGTGAGTGAATGGGTGAGTGGGTGAGTGAAAGGGTGAGTGGGTGAGTGAATGGGTGAGTGGGTGAGTGAATGGGTGAGTGGGTGAGTGAGTGGGTGAGTGAATGGGTGAGTGGGTGAGTGAATTGGTGAGTGGGTGGGTGAGAGATTGAGTGTGTGGGTGAGTGGGTGAGTGAGTGGGTGGGTGAGTGGGTGAGTGAATGGGTGGGTGAGTGGGTGAGTGGGTGAGTGAGTGGGTGAGTGGGTGAGAGATTAGCGAGTGGGTGAGTGGGTGAGAGATTGAGTGAGTGGGTGAGAGATTGATTGAGTGGGTGTGAGTGAATAAGTGTGTGTGAGATTGAGTGCGTTAGAGCTTGAGTGAGTGTGGCAGAGTGAGTCAGTGAGTGTGATAGAATGAGACAGTGAGTTAGTGAGAGACAGTGAGTTAGTGAGAGACAGTGAGTTAGTGAGAGACAGTGAGTTAGTGAGAGACAGTGAGTGAGTGAGAGACAGTGAGTTAGTAAGAGACAGTGAGTTAGTGAGAGTTAGTGAGAGACAGTGAGTTAGTGAGAGACAGTGACTTAGTGAGAGACAGTGAGTTAGTGATAGACATTGAGTTAGTGAGAAAGAGAGAGTGTGGCAGAGTGTGTGGCAGAGTGAGAGTGTGCAGTTCGTGTTTTGTCGAGAAAGTGTGGCGAGTGTGTGTGCGTTGTGTAGCTGTGTTTACATCGTGTACGTAGTGTTTGTAGTCTCTAATCAGTCTAAATTACGCTACAGAAATTCAACATTTGCACCCTTGCTTTGTGCTCTTTGATGTCGCCATTCCTGCGACGAGGACAGAAGGGAGGCCTGGCCGTTAGGCCTGCCATACACCTCGGCCTCAGGCTTCATATTCATTATTTTTTATGTTTGTATAATTTGAATTATGAACTTGTATTCCATTCATTAAATTGCAAGCGTATAAACACCATCTTGTTGGTTTATTTACTATTAAATTAATGGTTTTCTTAATCTATGTAGTTATGTTTAAGTGAGTGAGGTGGTAGTACTAAGTGTGAATTTGAGTTACATGTAAATTATTGTGCAATGGATTTGTCTGTGTGCACCTAGCCTGGCACGGACAATATGGACTATGTTATTATTAAGTCGTGAAAGAGATTGTTTATTTGTGTGTCTGTTATGTTTGTGTCAATTTACATATCTATATTTATAGCTGTGTTAATTTGATGGGTGGTGGTGATGGATAGGTGCGAGTTTTAACTTTAAAATGCTTGCAGATTAATAAAGATCTGCTTTGTTTTTAAAGATGACTGATTTCGATTTAAAGCTTTCGTGACTGCAGGGATTCATCTTCTTGGTTCTTTCGGTAAAGTCACGTAGAAGGGAAGTAATAAAATAATAAAAATAAAACATAATAAAACAATTCTCACGACGTTTCGGCCACAACGCAAGCAGCCGTCCTCAGGTGAAAACCAGGTCCGTCGAGGCGACAGAGTCTGAATGAAACAGCACACGAGCTTGGAGCATATATATAAGCTGGGCGCATTGACAAAGGAATTTGCATATCAAAAGGAATTTAGCATATTTATGGGAAATGCAGGAATGTGATTAGTCCTGCATATGCATGTGCATTATGCAGGATTAACAGCATCAAAGGGAGCTGCAGTTACTGCTGCTGCTGAAATTACTGCTGCTGCTGCAGTTTCTGCTGCTGCTGCAGTTACTGCTGCTGCAGTTGCTGCTGCTGCTGCACTTGCTGCTGCTGCTGCACTTGCTGCTGCTGCAGTTGCTGCCTTATCCAAATGGATAAGGCAGCAAGTGCAGCAGCAGCAGCAGCAAGTGCAGCACCATTTGGATAAGGCAGTTGCTGCCAAATGGATAAGGCAGCAAGTGCAGCAGCAGCAGCAAGTGCAGCAGCAGCAACTGCAGCAGCAGCAGTAACTGCAGCAGCAGCAGAAACTGCAGCAGCAGCAGTAATTTCAGCAGCAGCAGTAACTGCAGCTCCCTTTGATGCTGTTAATCCTGCATAATGCTACATGCATATGCAGGACTAATCACATTCCTGCATTTCCCATAAATATGCTAAATTCCTTTTGATATGCAAATTCCTTTGTCAATGCGCCCAGCTTATATATATATATGCTCCAAGCTCGTGTGCTGTTTCATTCAGACTCTGTCGCCTCGACGGACCTGGTTTTCACCTGAGGACGGCTGCTTGCGTTGTGGCCGAAACGTCGTGAGAATTGTTTTATTATGTTTTATTTTTATTATTTTATTACTTCCCTTCTACGTGACTTTACCGAAAGAACCAAGAAGAAGATGACTGATCATACGTTATTGCAACCATATCCTTCCTTTAAAAAACACGGACGAGGAGACATTCACACACGAGTGTGCATGTGTTTCTACGAGTTTTAACGTTAATATACTTGCAGAACAATAAAGACCTGATATGTTAAAGATGACTGATCGTCCCTTATTGCTACAATGTTCATAGCGAACACGTGTGGAGGCGAGTTTCAGGTGAAGCATCTCCATCACACAAGTTTACCCTTACCTGGCAGCATCGTGGCAGTCCGCTGGTCACACTCACTACGTCACACTCACGAGCTGTAGGGGCGGGGCTCTGTCTGCTCAGTGGCGCTGTTTTCATTCATTTAGCACCACGAGCGGGGAGTCGCATCCCTGTAGTTCCCTGTTGTGGTGCCGCATTCATTACCACGTTGCCCTCAATTCTTTGTACGACACAAAATTATAACAATACACGAGTATACACTCCCATGTACACACACCCACACACGAGTGGGCATGCGCAGTGGTGTAGATACATACACAAATGTGCATTCACACCGCTTTGTACATACACACACGATGCCCTGAATTACGTTATACTTTTGAAAAAAAACGCATTCAATTCTAATTCCTTCTGTTTCCACCCCAAAAGCTTGGAATTATTAATAATATTTTAAATAGTGGCCCCATGTTTAATGAGTGTAGTGAAGACATTAGTTTAGTTTATTTAATTCCATTTGTTTGCATTTGCTACGGCACACTGTTTGAGATTATTCTTCCCATTTATGAAATCTCTCTAGAATCATTTACATTTTCTTCATAAACTTCCTTGCATTCAGTTATTCTCGCATGTAACGCTCCTCATATCTAACAAACCTAATCTCATGTGGCCATTGTGCTTAAGCCGAAGTAGGATTTTGCACATTTCCAATGGCCTGTAAACTGGGATCAAGTTATCGGCCTTACCTGTGAAATACAGTATAATATATTGTTGATCGAGATATACTTATACTAAGAGGTGCATGTTTCATATCGTGTTGATGTGGTTTTATGAATATGTTTAAGGACCTTTGTTGATCAGGGTGTGTCTAGACAACGAAGGTGAATTGTTATATTCGATCAATTAAAATTGTTACAATTGCCGTGGATACCCATCTGGATGGTATCGTTTGTAAGCGTTGTTTATTATATTGTAACGCAGCCATGATCGCATTTCAGTCTATAGCAGAAAGTCTCGTGTGTATTTAGACCTTTGTGTATTACAGTGCTGTGTGTACGAATGTGTTGACACATTTTCCACGTGTTTTCACGGTAAGTGCATTGAATGTGGAGGGGTAACCAGCCCCTCGCAACAGTCCGGAGACCTCGAGGGCCGCTGTGATCGCTATGAGCATTCCCTCTGGAACATTGCTCACAGTTACCACAGCTTTACCGTCCGCCGATGCGGTAGGGGGTTGTTTTTACAGAACTTTACTCGTGGCAGGGGAATGCCAAACAACAGGGAGAGTGGCTCTTCTGAACAAAATAACGAAGGGGCATGGGACTGTGGCGGTGAGCTGTGGGAAGCTGTATGCCCCAGGCGAGGAGTGGTGGTTGCTCATGCCTACCCCGAAGGTGAACATCATCGCAGGGATGCAGGCAAGACCGATTAGTCATATGCCTTTCATAATATCCCGTAATAGAATCACACTGTGCTCGAATTAATGCATTGTGTATGTATCTATATGCGAACTGCGGGCTGCGGGATTTGAATGGCACAATAAATATAAAATAAATATGCTCAACAAGTTTTGATTAGGATTGTGCGGTTAATTGTTAATAAATACTGTAAATAGCTATTCCAATCCATTGAGATTGCACATTCAGCAAATTACAATGCGGCCACAATGCGATCCTAATAATTATAGTGCAATTCTAACCCCGCACCCCCATTACGCATATCCGTCCGTAGGTCCGCAAATATATATATATATATACATATGCATACATCCGAGTATAGTGGGATTATAATGTAGGAGGTCAGAGAAGGAATCTAACTCGACTTATATGCATCTTCGGTGGATGCATGAGCAACCACCACTCCTCGCCTCCCGTTGATTGGGAGGTGTGCCCACGGTAGCCTGGGGCTTAGCGCTTTCCACACCTTACGCCACGCTCCCACGCCCCCTTGATTCGTTTTTTTTTTCTCAGAAGAAGAGCCCCCTGTTGTTTGGCATTCCCCATCCACGAGTAAAGTTCCGTGAAAAGAATCCGCTACCTCATCGGCGGTGACGGACGGTAACGCTGCGGTGGATGTGAGCAATGTCCTGGAGGGAAGTCTCGTAGCCACCACAGCGGCCCACGAGGCCTCTGAAAGTGAAATAATTTTCCGAGTTCCTTAACTGTTTGAAAAACGAATTAATAAAGATTTTTACGCGAGTTTTAACGTTAATATTGTTGCAGATCAATGAAGACCTGATTTGTTTTTAAAGATGACTGATCGTACATTATTGCTACCATTTCCTTCCTTGAAAAAACACGGACAAGTAGACATGCGCGCACTAATGTGCATCCAAACACGACTGTATATATACAGCGGTGTGCATTCACACACGAGTGTGCATATACAGCGGTGTACATACATACAGACATACAACGCAGTGTACATACACAGCAGTGTACATATACAAGGATTGCGTTCCACTGCGAAAACGCACGATTGTACCTGCAAACATTTACACACACATACGTATACGGTTATTTTTTCCAGAAGAATAGCCACTCCATGTTTTTTTGGCATTCCCCTGCCACGAATACATTTCTGTATAAACAGCCTTCAACCTCATCGGCGTTCCGGGTCGGTAACGCTGTGAAGGATAAGAGCAATGTCCTGGAGGGACGTCTCGTAGCCACCACAGAGGCCCACAAGGTGTCTGGACGGGTGCAAGGTGCTGGTAACCCCTCCATATTCAATGCAATTACCAAAACAAAAACACGTCCAAAATATAAAACACGTGCAAAATATTGAACACATACACAAGAGTATACATACACACTGAAGACTAAATGGTGATGATTGATTTTTTTTGTGGTGTGTCATGTTAAACCACGCTTACAAACTAAACCATTCAGATGATTATTCAAAGTTTATAACGGAAATTATAACATAACCTCGTTTTCTAGAAACACCCGCTTAACACGAGTGCACTTCTATGTATTTATGAAACAAAGCAAGTACAGTATAAATTTGACCTCTTAGTCCAAATCAAACTGGACATCAGTTGTATTCTTTAGACTGTATGTCGTTGTTTAATCCTCTAAACTTGCAGCAGTTTAGAGGACATAGCCGGGTGAATATTAGCAAATTCACAGGAAGCACGGACTTGGAGATGTAGATCTTTATTCAAACGGAAGCGTACAATTATGCAGTGAGATGTACATACGTATTAAGGTTTAATTACAATGGCCAGATTAGCTAAGCTGTTGCTAGATATGCAGATTGTTAATGTAAGAATTAACAATTGAATGCAAAGTCCATGATAGGCCAAGTCGAGAACAAATAATTTGGATGCTAGAGGGAAGTTATAAGATGCATAAAATCAGACTTCAAGACCATTTCGAGAGGGATTTCACTGAGGATAGACGCGCAACTCCTCGCTCTGCAGATTACCCTTCTTCCACGAGACCCAGCCTGGCGAGCACGATTGCTTGGCGACTGGTTGGCGACTTCGCTTCGGGAGAGTTCGTGGCGATCTCTTCAGACGGGTTACAGGGACATCGATACGCCGTGCATCAACAAGTGTCTTTGTTAGTGGATAAACTGTAATCGCGTGTGTAGTTCGACTTACGGGGCGTTACTGTCTCGGTTAGACGTTAGTGAGAGTTTGCTTATTGGCGATTTGAGCCAGACATCCACACAGCTTAGAGGGCGCCTTTAACTCAACAACACCCAAGACTGTTACTCTGCTCTGATGAATCAGTCACATGGAGCAGATGAACTCTCCACAGTAACACGCACACACGGACGAGAAGCCATTCAATAGCTCGATGTGTGGAAAGGCATTTGCACGGAAATCACATCTTCACTGTCACCAAAAACAGACTCGGGCGAGAATCCATTTAATTGTTCTGTGTGTGGGAAGGCATTTGCATGGGAATCACATCTTCACTATCACCAAGAAACACACTGGGGTGAGAAGCCATTCAATTGCTATGTGTGGGAAGGAATTTTCACAGAAAGCAAATCTTAACACTCACAAGAAAACACATTCGGATGATAAGCCGTTCAATTGATCGGTGTGCGGTGTTGTATGTGTTGTGATTATGAAATTTTGATGAAAATAATAAAAATTAATAATTTTCCGAAAAATGCGCAAATCGCATTAATTATGATAGTGTGTGTATTAATATGCATAAATTATGATAATGCGTGTGATTATATGCATAAATTATGATAATCGTAGTAATTTATGCGGAGGCTTGCGATTATGTTAATGTGTGCAGTTATGATAATTTGCTTTCGTTTATCCAGAGTTATCAATCAGGATAACACGATTATCATAGATTCATTTACCGATTATCCTAGTGTGTGTTATAATATTTTAGGTCTCCATTTTCATATCTCATCGCAGGATACAGCTCTTATGAATAAGATGGTTTTGCATGGACTTGGAAAGAACACTCAATATGCTTCTGTGATAACAATTTTATTCTAACAAGCACGCGACATTCTATCATGCAGGTCAAACATGAGTCAATAATTCATGGGCAAGATTATGCAATTAACTAATATGAACGACAAAAACTTATGCAGTTGCGAAATTATGCAATTATGCAATATGAATAACGAAAACTCTTATGCATTTATGTAACTCGACGGCAGCAACTGCTTTGCACGATCAGTTGATATTGAACGCACCACCTCGAAATGGCAACCCTTTTTGAAACGAAAAGACAGTTTTCTTTTAAAGTCTTATTCGTGTGCGTGCTGTGTGTGCGTTGTCCCCTCGTAATATTAATTGTGTCGTTAGCTTGTGTGGTGTGGGAGGATACGAACAGCTCCTGCTGCTCCCTCGCTCGGCGTGTCGCTCGGCTTTGCTCTCCCTCTCTCTCTCCACTGCTGGATTGAGCGGCGTTGGCACGATGTTCCTTGAAGAAACTTGCTTGCTTGGCGCTTGATGGTTCCGGGGGCTTGGTGCTGCTCGTGCGCTCTCTCTTTCTACTGCTAGATGACGAGTTGGCACGATGCTGTCCTTGAAGATGCTCGGTCGCTCGGTGTCGCTCGGTGGCGCAAGGTGTCGCTCGTTGTCGCTCGATGGCGCGCGGTGGCGCACGGCGGCGCAAGGTGGCGCAAGGTGGCGCACGGTGGCGCAAGGTTGTTGCTCGTTGGCGCTCTTTCAGCGATCTCCGCCTTTCCTGCGGGTTGTTCGCTGGTCGTCACTCTGACGAGGAGCGATGCTTCGTTCGTGGCAGGGTGGACGTTGGCGTCTTTGTTGGCTTCACTCGCAACTCTGCGACTCAGGGTAGCGATTCTTCTCAGGTGGTGCAGACCTCGGCTTGTAGCTACGCGTCGCTACTCCGCAAACCTCGTCATTCTGAATGACAGGAGCTTCTTCGTTGGCGGCGACAAGGAGAGATGGAGCCACAGCCCTGGAGATCTGTGATGGGGGCCAGAGCCCCTGTCGATCTGTGGTGGAGCCGAAGATGGGCTCGTAGCCCGGATGATATGTGTGTTGGAGCCGAAGCCCGGATGATATACTTTGTATGGATTTTCCTTCGGTTTATATCGGAAAATTCCACTCGGCTTCCCGAGTTGTTCAAAGGCTGTGTCATAAAACCTTCCTGTGGGGGTGGACCATCTGCGTCCGTGTGTGTGTCCGTCCGTGTGTTTCGCGTGCGTGTTTGTCCGTGTGTTTATTAGCTTTGAAGACACAGCTGTGTGTGTCGTTCTGGAAGAAAGGGGTGGGGGTCTCGTGACGGTGCCACCAAAGTTATCCATTAGCCAGACCGATGATTCGCGTCGAGTTATAAAAAAACATTCGAATCCATGTTTTGTTACTGAATAATATTTGTCGCGAAAACTTACGCGTTAAGCGAGCTTAATTATTACCTCCCTTGCTCTGGGATCACATCCTTTGTCTCACACAGCTTAAGTTGGTTTGGTTTGGAAGTTGAAATGCAACTTATTTGCTGCTTGGTTCCATCTGCACAGTTATGCCGAAACCGTGTTCACGATGTTTCATCGTGACCCAACCTTTATGGGTGTCATTTCCTGGCTTGGTGCCTGTGTGTGGAGATCCTCTCGGAAAGACAAAGGCGGTCGTGTTGCTCGCTTCCCATGGGTGTTGTGTTTGGTTAATTTTGAGAGCCTTCTCCGCCCTTGATTCCTCTTCTATTTTAATTCCGTACTTATTATTCGACTTCTTGTGATTATTTGATCTGATATCCCGGCTAGGAATTTGTTTTGGAGCGAAATAGATGCCCTAATTATTCTTTGATGCTTCGGCCCGGCCGTGTAGATATTCTTTAAAGGTAAATAATGTCAGTACTTAATTAACAATGATGGGTCGCGATTCTGGTGCAGATTGTCTTTTGGTTTTCAATTGGAGTGAGGATGGATACTGTTTGCTTAATCTTTATGGTTGAGTTGGTAACTTGTGTATTTAACATGGTTCAAAGACCCATCTGTGCTTTTTGTCGTCGATGCTGTTTCTTTGTTAAGAATATAATTATCTCTTCCTCCGTGTCTCCTGGTTCTGCAACCCCCCGCCTGCAATTCCCCCATTCCTTGTTCCTCTTGTGTGAAATTCGGGGAGTTTATGACCTTGATTACCCTCTTTCATGCCGTCTTTCCTTTGAAATGAGGTATGCGCGCATCTGTGGAAGTGTGGGGCCTCTGTGGAAGTGTGGGGGCGTGTTCGTTCCCACGTGGCCCCGTGTCTATTAAAAAAACAATATTATATATGATGGCAGAATAAGCCTTAAAAAAAATAATATTAAAAAAAATAAAAAGGGGGTACATACACAACAGTCCGCCCGTTTGAAAATTAGCAGGGGTCGATTTGGCCACTGGCGAATTTTCAAACAAAGTAATGCCCCCTTTTTATGTCATGAATCCCATCAGCCGCCCTTACTCTCGGCGGTTATTTCTTACGACGCGCGTGCACGTATTACCATCTTAACCTGGTTACATCCGAAATAAGCAAAGAAAATAAACAACACGTTAACATCGATATTGCGTTACATCGGTTCTCATACATCATAACTCCGGCGAATATTCATTTTTGTTTTTGTTAAATCCTGGTTACATTTGAATTAAGCAAAGAAAATAACAACCCGTTAACATCGATATTGCGTTACATCGGTTCTCATACATCATAACTCTGACGAACATTCATTTTTGTTTTGTTAAATCCTGGGAAACGCTAGGTAGCGGTTTCGAACGCATTTATGCGTTACCTTCCTCATGTTGCCTGGTTTACCACTTATCACTTTGATAATTTGATCACGGTTTTCGGGTTCGTTTTTGTAGTTTCCTCTCTCACTCTCTCGCGTCGTGGGAGTGTGTGGTGAAAAATTGTGCTGCACGTAACCAGAATTCGCGCACACGACCCATTTTGACACTTGGTTCGTGGCATTCGCTCTCTCTGCGATTACATGCACATTTGCCGAGTCAGTGTGTCGACTTAATTCTGTGCCTCGTAATGTTGCCCTCTTTGTTTTTACGAGTGTGTTAGATTCCAACACCATTCCTGATATGTCATGAACATTCGTCTCCATTTTAGCACTCCGATCCACATACATTTTGGTTTCCCTTGGATATTTTCCATTCAAAGGCTCACGCCTGCGCTCCTCAGGGCGTGTCTCTGTGTTCTCTCTTTGTCTCTGCTGTCTGCTATCCACCGTCCGATCACACTTCAATTCAGCCCTGTCACTTGCAGCCTGCTCAGGGTTTAACACCTCGGCGGGTGGGGCGCGTGTTGGCCGCTCGCTCGCACTCACTGTGGATGGTTCATCACGTATTTGGACCGCATTCTGTGTTATTCCTCTATTCCCTCTTGGTATAGCCGGGAGGAATTGGTCGAAATTGGATCGATTGTGTTTGACCTCCCATCCTGCGATTCTCCTGAATGTTCGCATCCATACCTCCGCGGTCTGTGTAACACCTTCCCGCTAGGTGGTTATCTTGCCATCTCTGTGCGTAATTTGAACCTTGCGTGTGTCGTGGGATGGGGTGTTGATATGGTTCTGCTCTGAACCTCTCCCTCCTGCGATTCTCGTACATTTTTAGCCCAGTATTTCTCCCATTTGGGTGCCAAATTTTTCCTGGATTGTTACCTCGCCATCTTTGTGGGTAATTTTGATCTTGTGTGTGTCGTGGCATGGGGTGTTGGTATGGTTCTATTCTGAACCTCCCCCTCCTGCGATTCTCCTGAATGTTCGGCTTTGTGCCGCTCTCATTCTCGTGCCAACCTCTCTCTGGGTTATTTTGCCATGTGTGCGTGCGTTTCTGCTCCGTCCTGCATGGTGGGACTGCTCGGTGATTTTTATTCCTCTCTGAGAGGCTGGGTTCCTCATCCCTCTCCCTGTGTTCTGGATCCGAATTATGATTCTTAGCTCTGTACAACCATGCCATGTACGCCTTGCTCTCTATGCGGCGTAAGGATGCGGTTTCTGGATTCAAAACCATCCTCACCCTTTCTGTAATCTCTGGGCTCAAGGATTCAAAAAACATAATTTTGAACATTTTATCTCCTTCGTGGTATTGATTCACATCGCCTGCATAATACGCTCTTTTAAATTGGACGAGGTAGTCACGTGGATCTTGGTCCATGCCCTGGGTCATCGATTTTACAGCATAAAACCCCTCAGTGAGTGTCGAATATTCTCCAAACTTCCGAATCACTGCCAGGCTCAATTGTTTAAAATCATTTCTAACCTTGTGTGGTAGTGACTTTACCCATGGAATAGATTCTTTATGTAAGGTCCGTTTCAACAAACTCGCTTTTTCATCCCGTCTCCTCAGCCCTCTAATCATTGCCTCCTCTTCTACGGTTGCGATATGTGTGTGGATATCCATAGTCTTATTGTGGGGGTCAAAATCGGGAATTCTGACTAGAGCCTTGTCCATCAATTTAAGGGTTTTACTGGTGAATAGGTATTCCGAAAGTTGATTGCCGACAGCGTCATCATCAAACAAGTTATCATCAGGCAATCTGTCACTTTGGTCTGTGCTGTGTCGCTTGTGTTTAAGTGGTGTGCATTTTCTGTGTGCGCGCCCAGTGCCGTGTCGCTCGTGTTGCCATTTCCCTTCAGTTTTTGCCTCTGCCCTTAGTGTACCATGTCCTGGCGATTTTACTTTAACATTTTTCCTCCCTCTATCTGTGAAGTTGTCAGTCTCACATGTTTTTGTTTGCATATGTATCTCTCCATCCCTTCTCTCGAATTGTGAGGGTTTCCCTTTGTCAATGATTTTTTGTTCGATATCCATAATTTTTGTGCGATCAATCCCTGGACTCTGTCCACGTACCCAAGAGTGTGATTTAATGTCACTTCCATATTTATTCTGTGGATCCACGTCTGTGAGTTTCGCTGGTGTCGCGAGCACTGATTTCTCTCCCGTTTCCTTTCCAAATTTTCCCTCATTCCACAATCCCTGTCTGTATGCCTGTGTGAGAAGGAATGAGTCCTGTCCTGCCTTCTCTGCAGTTTTTGCATCGTGTTCGCCTTCGTTACCTTTTATCCAGTCAATTAGTTTCCCCCGAGGTGTGTTCGTGTTATCGATACAGCTCCCTTCCCATATGTCTCTCTGACTGTACTGCTTTGTAACAGATTGGTCGGTACGTTTAAATACGAGCTCCCCGTATCCCGTAACCCATTCAAAAATTATTCTCAATCCTAGCATCTTAGGTATGGCGGAAGTTACTTTGACATTTCTTTTCAGAGTGCATATAAAACAATTATCTCACAGAGTGTAGTCAATTTGACTCGAGCTATCTGTTATTTTCCGATTCAGAGTGCGTACCTCTAACACCATTTATCAGAGGATGCAATTGGTTTGATACGATATTATCTTAATTCCACTCTTTGTTTTAACCTGCTATTCTGGGTTTTAACCTTAGAGGGCGTTTTTTTGTTTTCCGCCCGTTCACAATCACCATGCAATGTTCGATCCTGATATTCTGGTTAACACGAAGTGATTCATTCCATCATCCATGCAAAACACTGTCTGCGAGAGATCCCGGACGGGCCACCCATTATGTTGTATGTGTTGTGATTATGAAATTTTGATGAAAATAATAAAAATTAATAATTTTCCGAAAAATGCGCAAATCGCATTAATTATGATAGTGTGTGTATTAATATGCATAAATTATGATAATGCGTGTGATTATATGCATAAATTATGATAATCGTAGTAATTTATGCGGAGGCTTGCGATTATGTTAATGTGTGCAGTTATGATAATTTGCTTTCGTTTATCCAGAGTTATCAATCAGGATAACACGATTATCATAGATTCATTTACCGATTATCCTAGTGTGTGTTATAATATTTTAGGTCTCCATTTTCATATCTCATCGCAGGATACAGCTCTTATGAATAAGATGGTTTTGCATGGACTTGGAAAGAACACTCAATATGCTTCTGTGATAACAATTTTATTCTAACAAGCACGCGACATTCTATCATGCAGGTCAAACATGAGTCAATAATTCATGGGCAAGATTATGCAATTAACTAATATGAACGACAAAAACTTATGCAGTTGCGAAATTATGCAATTATGCAATATGAATAACGAAAACTCTTATGCATTTATGTAACTCGACGGCAGCAACTGCTTTGCACGATCAGTTGATATTGAACGCACCACCTCGAAATGGCAACCCTTTTTGAAACGAAAAGACAGTTTTCTTTTAAAGTCTTATTCGTGTGCGTGCTGTGTGTGCGTTGTCCCCTCGTAATATTAATTGTGTCGTTAGCTTGTGTGGTGTGGGAGGATACGAACAGCTCCTGCTGCTCCCTCGCTCGGCGTGTCGCTCGGCTTTGCTCTCCCTCTCTCTCTCCACTGCTGGATTGAGCGGCGTTGGCACGATGTTCCTTGAAGAAACTTGCTTGCTTGGCGCTTGATGGTTCCGGGGGCTTGGTGCTGCTCGTGCGCTCTCTCTTTCTACTGCTAGATGACGAGTTGGCACGATGCTGTCCTTGAAGATGCTCGGTCGCTCGTGTCGCTCGGTGTCGCTCGGTGGCGCAAGGTGTCGCTCGTTGTCGCTCGATGGCGCGCGGTGGCACACGGCGGCGCAAGGTGGCGCAAGGTGGCGCACGGTGGCGCAAGGTTGTTGCTCGTTGGCGCTCTTTCAGCGATCTCCGCCTTTCCTGCGGGTTGTTCGCTGGTCGTCACTCTGACGAGGAGCGATGCTTCGTTCGTGGCAGGGTGGACGTTGGCGTCTTTGTTGGCTTCACTCGCAACTCTGCGACTCAGGGTAGCGATTCTTCTCAGGTGGTGCAGACCTCGGCTTGTAGCTACGCGTCGCTACTCCGCAAACCTCGTCATTCTGAATGACAGGAGCTTCTTCGTTGGCGGCGACAAGGAGAGATGGAGCCACAGCCCTGGAGATCTGTGATGGGGGCCAGAGCCCCTGTCGATCTGTGGTGGAGCCGAAGATGGGCTCGTAGCCCGGATGATATGTGTGTTGGAGCCGAAGCCCGGACGATATACTTTGTATGGATTTTCCTTCGGTTTATATCGGAAAATTCCACTCGGCTTCCCGAGTTGTTCAAAGGCTGTGTCATAAAACCTTCCTGTGGGGGTGGACCATCTGCGTCCGTGTGTGTGTCCGTCCGTGTGTTTCGCGTGCGTGTTTGTCCGTGTGTTTATTAGCTTTGAAGACACAGCTGTGTGTGTCGTTCTGGAAGAAAGGGGTGGGGGTCTCGTGACGGTGCCACCAAAGTTATCCATTAGCCAGACCGATGATTCGCGTCGAGTTATAAAAAAACATTCGAATCCATGTTTTGTTACTGAATAATATTTGTCGCGAAAACTTACGCGTTAAGCGAGCTTAATTATTACCTCCCTTGCTCTGGGATCACATCCTTTGTCTCACACAGCTTAAGTTGGTTTGGTTTGGAAGTTGAAATGCAACTTATTTGCTGCTTGGTTCCATCTGCACAGTTATGCCGAAACCGTGTTCACGATGTTTCATCGTGACCCAACCTTTATGGGTGTCATTTCCTGGCTTGGTGCCTGTGTGTGGAGATCCTCTCGGAAAGACAAAGGCGGTCGTGTTGCTCGCTTCCCATGGGTGTTGTGTTTGGTTAATTTTGAGAGCCTTCTCCGCCCTTGATTCCTCTTCTATTTTAATTCCGTACTTATTATTCGACTTCTTGTGATTATTTGATCTGATATCCCGGCTAGGAATTTGTTTTGGAGCGAAATAGATGCCCTAATTATTCTTTGATGCTTCGGCCCGGCCGTGTAGATATTCTTTAAAGGTAAATAATGTCAGTACTTAATTAACAATGATGGGTCGCGATTCTGGTGCAGATTGTCTTTTGGTTTTCAATTGGAGTGAGGATGGATACTGTTTGCTTAATCTTTATGGTTGAGTTGGTAACTTGTGTATTTAACATGGTTCAAAGACCCATCTGTGCTTTTTGTCGTCGATGCTGTTTCTTTGTTAAGAATATAATTATCTCTTCCTCCGTGTCTCCTGGTTCTGCAACCCCCCGCCTGCAATTCCCCCATTCCTTGTTCCTCTTGTGTGAAATTCGGGGAGTTTATGACCTTGATTACCCTCTTTCATGCCGTCTTTCCTTTGAAATGAGGTATGCGCGCATCTGTGGAAGTGTGGGGCCTCTGTGGAAGTGTGGGGGCGTGTTCGTTCCCACGTGGCCCCGTGTCTATTAAAAAAACAATATTATATATGATGGCAGAATAAGCCTTAAAAAAAATAATATTAAAAAAAATAAAAAGGGGGTACATACACAACAGTGGGAAGGCATTTGTAGAGAAATAAACTCTTAACAGACACCACAAAACACACGGGCGAGAAACCATTCAATTGTTCTGTGTGGTAAGGCATTTGCACGGGAATCACATCTTCACTGTCACCAGAAAACACACACGGGTGAGAAGCCATTCAAATGCTCTCTTTGTGGGAAGGCATTTTCACTTAAATCAAATCTTCACACTCACTAGAAAACACACACGGGTGAGAAGCCATTCAAGTGCTCTCTTTGTGGGAAGGCATTTTCACAGTCGGCAACACTTAACAATCACCAAAAAACACACTCGGGTGAGAAGCCATTCAATTGCTCTGTGGGTGGGAAGGCATTTTCACTGAAACAAAATCTTCAAAGTCACCAGAAAACACACACGGGTGAAACGCCATTCAATTGCGCTGTGTGCGGGAAGGCATTTGCATGAAAATCAAATCTTCACACTCACCAGAAAACACACTTGGGTGAGAAGCAATTCAAATGCTCTACGAGGTAGAGGACAAGTTCACGGTCATCACCCCGAAACAAGCATCAGAAGATCTCCAATGATAGGGAAGTGAAATCAAAAGGTGAAATGCAAAGTGCTGCAATGAGTCCTGAAAAAAAATCACTTTTCGAACCGATGCTGGTGGATCCTGAGAGATGGCTGAATGTATTGGATGTAATGAGTCCTGACGACAATTCTTCTTTTGACCCCATGCAGTTTTGATCCTGAGAGATGGCTGGATGTAGTGGAGTGGCTGGAGAGTCAAATGTATTGAGTACTGTTGCACTGTGTATATTCGTGTATCTTAAATATTTTCCAGTGATTTCCAGTAACCCCTGCTAGAGTGATGTTGTGAATGCTTTTTAACGTGTTCTAATGAAAGCATTCCTTTTATGTTCTAGTAATTGGATCATCGGGGCTGTTAAATGGCTGGTGCTCATGGTAGGTGGTATGTGTTGTAATTTTCTCACAGCAAATGATGTGAGCGTGCTGTCTTGTTTATTCCAGACTCCGTCACGTTAAGGTGGTGCTTCGTAGTCCTATCGGATTACTTGTTGATGTGGTGTGATGTGCAGTGGTTGTGAGGTGGTTCAATTCCTGATTTTACTCTCGTGGTTTTGTTGAGCTAAAGTTGGAAAAGACTGATCACATCTTTGCCCAATATATATTTTAAAATTCCTTCATTTTCCTCATTGTTTAATAATAACTACTGCAGATGATCGGTTTCAGGATATATGTGGATTTCACTTTCGTTGTTCCTGTGTTTGATGGCTTTCACTTCAGGACGAATAGCTTCAATCGATAAGGACGTCAATGGGGAATGATAAATCGAGCTTTACTTGTTTGATTTTGAGAATATTTTTTAACTATTAAATTCCTGAAAGTAAAATAATTTGTCTCATTCCAGATCTGAGTTTCAGCCATATTTGTTTAAATGGGGGTCTCAAGTTTATGAAATTGATCTCAACATGCTTACAAAAATATGACGCGTAAAGTTTTACTGCCATGTGATGAATATTTCTCAATAGCAGGTCCTGTTGTGTGGTCAGAGGTAATTACAGGGACCTCAGAATTAGTTCTGTGAATCTTCATGTGCTTCGTTCTCTAATTCATTACTCGTCCTTTGAATGCATTTTCTGTTCTCCATAGACCGGGAGTCGTGGCGCCAGTCGACCACGTGGGGGGGACATTATGGATGAAGTGGACCCTTTCCCAGGCCAAAGCTACGAGCATCGCTCCCCAAAGGTGGCTATGGGATCTATGGGGGTCAAACACACCATATTCACTCCACACTAGCACACCATTTCACCACACCATTGTACCAAAACATCACCACACCATCTCTCCACGTCACCTTTCTCATCACACCACCACCAACTCAATAGACCATCATAGCGCCTCATAATGCGTCTATACCATCACAAGACACCATCTCTCCAGAACATTCCACAATTTCACCTCCATATCACAACACCATCTCCCGACACCATCACTCCATCTCTCCACCATCACGTGCTGCCATATCCCACTCGTGCAAGCACTTCAAGTTGCTATTTATTTAGCCAATGAAGACAGAATATCATGCAATCTCATGAATTCCGTCTGTGAGCTGATTGGAAGTTGCCATTCCAGTTGCCTACTATCGATGCTGCAGTAAAATTTGTCCAGATTATGGGCTTCCAGATCTTTACAATCGAACATTGTGGACATTTTTTTGCCCGTAATGATTGTTGCCAACAATGGCCATGAACTCGTCGCAGACTATCACAGCCTTAAGTACGTTTATGGAACTTGTGAGAATATATGATGTAACATGTATTTTTTATAACATTAGGTGGTGTATATTCACGTGTTCTAGCATGTTTGCATGAGTAAATGTTCATGTTTGCATTCGTACATAGATGTGCGAGTATGCATTTTTGTTCGTGTACGTGCCCGTCCATGTTTGCGTGCCTGCGAGTATGAATTTTGTCTTGCGTGTGCATGTCTGAACGGTCCTGTGCTTTTCGTCGCGTGAACAGAGCAGCATTGGGGAGGTGAAGAACTTCAGCGGGGTGAAGCGTCTCCAGGAGAACAAGCACCTTGCGAAGGAGAAACGCACCATGGAAGAGGACCGCCTCATTGAGATGAAGCGCCTTGCCAGGGTGACGCACATCCCAGAGGAGAAATGCCTTCGAGACAATCTCCTCAAGAACCGTCTCATGGAGAAGCGCGTCATTGAGAAGCGCTTCATTGAGAAGCGCATCATTGAGGAGAAGCGCTCCATGGAGAAGCGGCTCCGTGAGGTGAAGCGTCTCAAGAAGAAGCATCTGGAAGAGAAGCATCTCGCCAGGGTAAATTAACTTGCTGAGGTGAAGCGCCTCGCCATTGTGAAGTGTGTCGATGAGGAGAAGCGCCTCATAGAAGTGAAGCACCTCATGGAGGAGAAGCGCCTCAGAGGAGAACCGGGTGGAGGAAGAGAATCGCCTCTTTGAGAAGCAAGAGAAGAAGCAGCGTCTTGAGGAGAGGCGCCTTTGCAAGGTGAAGCTTGTCGAGGAGAAACGTCTCATGCAGGAGAAGCGCATCGTTGAGGTGAAACGTCAAGAGGAGGAGCACTTGATGGAGGAGAAGCGTCTAGTGGAGCAAAAGTGCCTCATGGAGGAAAAGCGCCTCGTGGAGGAGCAGCGCCTCGCCAAGATCGAGCAACACTGGCTCCAGACCGCTACCACCAGCAGCACCACCACCTCCGCCGCCACAACCACCGCCACCACCGCCACTCCTGTGCAGGGCCCGATTACTCAGAGCTTTGGAGAAGAGGGCTTCCAAGAAGAGAAAGTAAACTCTGGAGCCGCTGAGCAACGGTAAACTACTCTTGCATGTGTCCTGTGTGTGTTTATTTGTATTTATTATCATGCTTGTTTACGCAGGATGAGCCTCACTAAACCTCAAGACTTTTTTCAGGAGGGTCCTGTCAAGTTTGCTCATAGTTGGTAACAAAGTTGCTGCTGTTCATGATCCAAATTGAGCGATTTGCATTGTGTGGGTTCAGTTACAGGGAGAATGCTGCAGAATCCTCCCAGAACAGGGGGCAGCACATTCCACACAGATAACGTGGCCCAACGTGGAAATCAAACCCAGCTCCCTTCTGCTGCTGAGGCACAGGTGCTCCAGCCCTGCCGCACTCACAAAATATACAGACACTGCAAACCCCACGTGTACATTGCGCTATACTGTGGACAGATTTACTTTCCATAATTGGTTTCTGAGCGAGACCAGATAACGATGCGGCCATATTTCACCATTTAACCTTCCATCCACCGTAATAATTGCCTGTTTCCAGGCCAACTGCCAAGTTGCCTTGTAATGCACAGAGACAGCGACCACTGGGAGGGGTGTCCAATTTCAAATGCGTTGAGATGAGAGATGCGAGATGTGAGTGGCTCATTGCGCTCAATGCACTCTGAGATGCCTTCGACGTCAAGAGAGGCGGCTCTGTCGACCTCAAATCACTGTCGGATAGTTGATCGAAATCGTGGATCGGTTGAAGCAGCCAAAGGGTCGCGCACTCATCGCTCACCACTTACAGTTCAGATCTTGCTTCCCGCCCTGGATATTACTAACGCCGCATTAACCACAAAGATACACACCCATTCCGTCACAGTGGATGTTCAGGATCTCCACCGATGTCATTTTAAATGCGTAGGCCATTATGTCCAAGGGATCAATTAGAATACACATAGAAAGATAAATGTCACTACAAATGATTCAGCTAAATTGACACAGCAAGGCCACTCACTACTGTGAAACTACAACAGTCTGTGTGAGACACAGCTGAATAAATCTCAAGGATAGCCTTGCCCCATGAGAATGACAGCGCCAATGCTAAGCACACTCACTGGCCATGTCGTTATTGCTGTTTGTATTAAGCTTGAATTAATCCACCACGCATTACACCCACGGACCATGGGAGATGGCGATGTCTGCCGTAGCAGGAAAGTGGAACGATGTCGTGTTTGTCTCTTCACAGATCTGAGCCAAAGCAGCCCTCCTCCTCACTCCTCCAGGCCTTTGAAACGAAGTCAGAGGTTGTGCAGAAGGAGACTAAGGAAGAGGTGAAGGAGATGGAGGATGAAGTAGAGACAGAGGAAGAGAAGGCAAAGGAGGACAAGATTGTGATGGTGACAATGGAGAGCACGGAGGGAGAGGAGAAAGACAATACGGAGATGGAGGACAAGGCGACAACAAAGGATGAACAGATGGTCGTGGTGGAGGAGATGGAGACGATGGACAAAGCGGAAACAATGGTGGTGGTGGAGGAGGAAGAGAAGAGGGTGGAGGAGATGGTGGTGCAGGAGGGTGAGGAGAAGATGGAGGAAGAAGAGATGGTGCTAGTGGAGGAGGAGAAGAGGGGATGGAGGATGAGACAGAGGAGAAGATGGAGGAGGTGCAGGTGGAGATGCACGAAAAGAAGAGGAAGCGAGGGGGCCTCGCTCGCATGGCGAGAGCGTTCACCTCACTCCTCCGCCACATGCTACTTTGTGGAGGCAGGTACACCGCCCAGTAGGGGTGGTGGCCGCGGATCGGCGCCAACCGTGACTGCTATCACCACACGACCCACGGTGCCACTGGGACCACAGCTGGGGGATGAAACTGAGCAGCAGATGCCAGTACTGCAGCGGAGAATGACTGCTTCCAGGACACCTCACATCACACACACACACATGGGACTATTCCATTAGCATAGCCGGCCCCACACTGGGCCCCTTCCATGCTGGTTTTCATCCAGGCGGTCCTCATGCGATGACCTTGCCATGGTTTCCAGGACATGTAAGGGGCAGCTGACCCAGAAAGAGACGGCTGCAGGGGTCTGGTGCAGACAATGAACAAAACCTGCACGTGCCAAGTCTTAAGGCCACCCGGTTAAGAATTAGGATCAATATTTTTGTTGTTGTTGTTACTATAAACTTTGTGAAATCAACTCATGAGGACACAACGTAATGTTGCATTGCTTGCGAGTGCTGCCTGGGTTGGTTAAATGTGCCTTGGCTCGTGTGTGCCGTGTCCCGGCTGTGTGTGCGGCGGGACAAGGACATAGATAAAAAGAGACGTTTTGGGAAATGGTTCTTCTTCAGAGCACATATTCAGATGATTCGCCTTCTTCACGACAAATCCACCCCTCATCTGCCCCACTGATCCACTGCTCCAATGCCCCACTGCTCCTTTGCTCCACTGCCTCATTGCTCCATTGCTCCTCTGCTCTATTGCCCCACTTCTCCACTGCGCTCTGCTTCACTGTCCTGCTCCACTGCCAATCTGCTCCACTGCCCCTCTGCTCCACCATCTGCCACAGCAGTTGAAACAAGTGTAAAAATGGGTGCGCCACAATCGAGCGGCAAGTTGCATTTGGTGGATTAAAGAGAAAGGAAATGCAGGACTGTGCCACTGCTCCACAATCCCAATTGCTTTGGAAAAATATTTAAAGAATGCTGCTGCTCACTAAACAGGTTGCTGCTTATGTCTTTAACGTGGGGGTGTTTAGAGGTGGTGTTGTATCCTAACCCTTCTTCCATAATTGAGAGTAATAATATTTGATGATTTTTTTTATATATTATCTTTTTACTTTTTTAAATGAGTGAAACACACCAAAGCGCACCAAACTGCAAAACACCAGGTGTTGTTAAGTAATGAACGAGAGGAGGGCTAGGATGACAGAATTGCAACCTTGCTTCAAGGCAAAGGCAGTGAAAGGAAGCAGAGGCGCCTTTGTCTAAGTCATAACCACAGAAAGCCAGGAATCATCACTGATTGTGTGTTAGGGATTCCGAGCTAATTAGAACACGTGCACACAGAAAGGGAGGTAGAAGCACACCTTGTTCTCCTGCAGCTGAGGAAACAAAGATAAACCCAAAAAGGCCTTGGACCTGAAATTAAGAATAACATTCCCAGAGCAGAAGGTTGGAGGGCCACAGGGAGCTGATTTAAAAGAGTGTTGTATATCTCTCAAGGCGGGCAAGACCCAGCTGAATAACAAGCCTGCGGGGGTCACCAGAAGTTCGCATTCGCCTAGTTAAGACAAAAAGCTCAATTATTCTGTATTGCTATTAAAGTAACGTTAAAGTCGGAATTTAACAACAGGGTAGGCTAAAGTTATTGATATTCACACCCACTCCAATTAAACCAGGCCACAAGTTACGCCTACTGAACCATCACCATCATTAAGTCAAATGAAATGTTATTTCCATACTTTAATACTTTCTATGCAACTCGACCCGAAGCATATGACAATCAGAACCTTCCTAAGTCAAAATTGAATCGCACCCAGACAGGAGCGAATATATCATATATAAGGTTGAAGAGGGAAGGAAATTAAGAGCACGGCGGCAGACAAAAACCAGAACTGACTCCAAGGCTCAACCGCCCTCACCTCAGGAGTGACGGAAATTAATGAGGCCTTGAACAACGGCCAGCTGGACGGCAACAACAACGGCGAGCAGAGATAGGGTGGGGCAAAGACTGCGGGGCTATGAAATGCAACTTCGTGTCAGTAAAGCTCTGACAAACAAGTTAAGTTAAAGACATCACAATACATAATATCTACATAACATCAATGTTAACGCTATTCACCGTAAACTAAAGTAAAACTTATGAAAAGCCAGGATAACGGGATGAATCACCACCAGGTCGAATATAATACATAATAAAAAAACGATGTTAAACCCAGGGTCGGAGAGAAAGGGAGATCCCGGCCGTCTTTGTATCTCCGCCGCGCGGGATAGGAGTGTGTATACGCTCGGGGAAACACCTCCACTTGAGTCAAGCACCACGATGGGAAACGACAGACCTTAGGTTACATACAGAATCATAACTGTGAAATAGTAAGGGACAAATGTTAACTTAAAACTTCTTAACCATTTCTTTGTGCGCCGGGTCGGAGAGAGTGTTGCCCCTCCCTCCAGGTGGTGCAACACGAACAAAGACGCCTATGAGACGATTTGTAACGTCTGTGTTTTGGGTTCATAAAGAAGGCCAGACAAGAGATAATATTGCACCCAGACAGAGAGACGACCTCGAGGCAATTTGTAACACCTGATTGTTTGCTCGTGGGTTTTACGGAGGGAGTGGGACAACGGAATACCGTGAGTGATGCACACGGACGTACGGACAGACACATGGACACACCTGCCTACGGACAGATCCTGACACAGCAAAAATCGGAAGAAGCCCCGCCTTGTGGGCGGGATCCAGGGGGATTTTTCGGCATAAAGGGAAGGATCCTGAGCATTGGAAATCAGTGCGACCAGTGGGTTGGCTCAGGAACGAGTGCGACCAG